ACGTACAGGAATCCACGTCGAGGGGGTTTCACATGGTGTGTAGACATGCCACATTGTTGTTCAAGTGTGCTGATATTTCATTCTTGAAGTGTTAGTTTAAGTTCGTGAGTTTCACTTGGTGTTCATTTATGCTGATATTGCATTGTTATACACTTAATGTATTTTTACAGTTCAAGTTCAAATCAAATTAGCAATAATTAGTATTTAAAAAAAAATATTACAGAGATGAAAGGGAGAGAAAGTCCACTTGAAGCTCCTTGGTTTTATGCTTTAACAACCTTGACCTTTATCAAAAGAAAGTTCAATAACTGTCACTTTATATTGGATTTTTTTTCAGCACTGAACTATATAGTTACATAAATGCATAATCTGAGTACTTGGCTTAGCAGAGTGCATTTTTTTTGCTTTCCACATCTGATAGTTAGTCTATTCAACATCTTTCTTTAATTCTCAAACTTGACTTGCCCATTTCATTTCTTACTTAATTCTCAACTTGATAACCTGTAATTGTCACTACATTCTTTTATACATTAAATTTGTTGACCTATAATTGTACTTTAATTCAGTGACACACTTATATCCTATCGACCTTCTAATACATAAAAACTAAACTTTCTTACCAAATTTCTACTTATTTGTGAGCAGCATTCAAACTTTTTTGAAACTATAACATGACTAACTCCTACTCACTGCCACTTTAAAACATATACAGTTTATACTCTATTCTAACTTGTATATACGCAAGGTTTATTGCCCAAAACTAAGGGACTTATCCTTTATTTTACAGTGTACTTTTCACTTTTCTTACTTTTATAGTTATTTCAAACTCCTCACATCTTTTCTAGTGTAATACTGGATGTTAAGCTGGTCTAGAATATAAAGAATTCAGTCTTCCTTGCTTCTTCTCATATTGTAAGCTTATTGATATGGTAATAATGTGATCATGGTATGCTAATACCAAATAGGGATTGTGTTAAAGGATTTCTCATTGCAGGCAAGCACAAATAAGAAAAAAATAAATGTATGAAAAGATTTCTAACCAAAAGTATAAGCATCAATAAGAATTGAATTGTGTATAAAGATTTCTTACCAACGGTATAAGCATCAATAAGAATTGAATTGTGTATAAAGATTTCTTACCAATGGTATAAGCATCAATAAGAATTGAATTGTGTATAAAGATTTCTTACCAATGGTATAAGCATCAATAAGAATTGAATTGTGTATAAAGATTTCTTACTAAAAGTATAAGCATCAATAAGAATTGAATTGTGTATAAAGATTTCTTACTAAAAGTATAAGCATCAATAAGAATTGAATTGTGTATAAAGATTTCTTACTAAAGGTATAAGCATCAATAAAAAGAAATGTCTGCACAAAAGTTTTATCAGTTTTTGTATGAGCAATTTTGAATATGAAAATGAAACATTAAATCACATTTTTGTTACATTTACACCATAATACTATCTACAAGATATGAGTCATCAAATGGTGTGTTGAATAATTGTTGATGACTTTAAATTATTAGATGTTAGTCAAGCTGAACAGAGTAAATGTTAAAATTATCTAAATTTTTTTATTAATAGAATTTTTAAACATTTATCTTCATATTTATCCCAAAAATTTACAGAACAAATGTTTACCAGCAACAGGATGGTCTGAATCTTAAGTTCTTGTTGAGATCCTTATGCAGACAACAGATTCCAATTTCACTAACAACTCATACATTTATCCTTTATCCTAAATTTATAACCTATAATTTCAGTTTCTCTATTTCTGCAGTTGACACATTTATTGTAATCAAGTTATAATCAAGTACAAAACTTTGTTTTTAATATTTGATATATTAGATATAAGCACTGCTTATAACTCCACATTCTTGATACGTCTGTGACTTCAGCTAATGTATGCAATTAAATCACCTCAAGAATAACAAAATCACAAATAGCTGACCAAGAGCTTTTTGGCTACTTAATAGCTAATTAAAGATTATAAATGATTGTTGTAGTTTTGAAATATCCACAAGGCAATATAGCTGCTGGAGACAGTCATGGAACTGAAACACACACTAGTTGTTTGCCAATGTTACCGCCATTCATCATTGAGATAAAGGCACGTGGTGTATTTTCTAATCCATGTTCTACTGTTTCTTTCACCTAAAGTAAAATAATATAGTGCTAAATTAAATGATCAGAGAACCACACAAGTAAAAGTTCAGTTAATAAATGAACACATTTCTCATGTATTATTATGGCATTAATATTTATCATTATATCGCTACTACTGTGATTTTTATGCACTAACCTAGCAACCAACATTTCAGAACTACATTAAATCATGAATATCTCAGCCACTGTGCTTGTTGTGCATGTACCTAATAACCAACATTTCAGAACTATACTGAATTACGAATATCTCTGTTCTTCAAAATACTTTATAAAAACAACATAAATCTGTAAATCTGTCCAATATACAAAGCATCTTTAAAAAGGTATTTGTCTAAGAGAGAACTTCAGTTATTACCTTTAATTTCCCACTTCTTAACCATTCAACAAGTTGCTTTAGAGCTTCTTCATACATCTCTGGATAGTTGAGTACAAGGAATCTTTCTCTGGCAACAAAGAATAAAATCAGTGGAACAGATGAATGAACATCATGCTTACTAAAAACAATAAAATATTTTAATGAGACTTAAAACTTTACTTTTTCAACACCATGTCACACACACACACACAAATTCAGTACTAGTAACTCAAAACAACAAAATATTATCTTAAAATGAAGCAGATGAACTGTATAATCCAGTGCAAGAAGTGTTCGTGACAAAACTCAACTCATTAGAACAATATAACTAACTGTAACTGGCTAAGATAAAGTAAAATTACAAACTCTAAGTCTAATTCACCCAACAACATAAATAACTGTAACTGGATAATATAAAGTAGAATAACAAACTAATAAGACTAATTCACCCAAAAACATAAATAACTGTAACTGGATAATATAAAGTAGAATAACAAACTAATAAGACTAATTCACCCAACAACATAAATAACTGTAACTGGATAATATAAAGTAGAATAACAAACTGATAAGACTAATTCCCAAAAACATAAATAACTGTAACTGGATAATATAAAGTAGAATAACAAACTAATAAGACTAATTCACCCAACAACATAAATAACTGTAACTGGATAATATAAAGCAGAATAACAAACTAATAAGACTAATTCACCCAACAACATAAATAACTGTAACTGGATAATATAAAGCAGAATAACAAACTAATAAGACTAATTCACCCAAAAACATAAATAACTGTAACTGGATAGTATAAAGTAGAATAACAAACTGATAAGACGTCTTATTAGTTTGTTATTCTACTTTATATTATCCAGTTACAGTTATTTATGTTTTTGGGTGAATTAGTCTTATTAGTTTGTTATTCTGCTTTATATTATCCAGTTACAGTTATTTATGTTGTTGGGTGAATTAGTCTTATTAGTTTGTTATTCTACTTTATATTATCCAGTTACAGTTATTTATGTTTTTGGGTGAATTATAATTCTCGTAATAAAATACATAACTGTGCCTGGATAATATTATGTAGAATCACAAACTCTAGCAAGACTAAATCACCTAACAACATACACATTTGTGCCTGGATAATATTAAGTAGAATCACAAACTCTAGTAAGACTACTTTAACCAACAACATAACTCTGACTGGATAATATAAAGTAGAATTAGGAACTGTAAGCTTACCCAAGAACTTACCTTTTTGTGATTTGATATTATAATGTTGAATCACAAGCTACATGCTTAACTATGTAGAAAGGTTTTCGAAAGGTGTAATTTATAGAACCTTCAAATGATGTGGTTGGATTAGCCAAATGATGTTGAAAATGAGAATATGATGCTGATATATGTGAAACTTTTACAATTCCTAAAAAAAGCTTAATAATCTTAGACTTTCCTATGTTAACATAAGTTTTAGGGTTGTATACACATTTTCTTTCAGAGGGATTACTAATATAATCTTTTTTAATCTTTGGACTTTTACACAGTGACTGTGGAAACCTTGAGAGGTTTGATGGTGCAAAGTGTCTCACTACGTTCTAGTCCTTTTTTTGTCGATTTTTTATCTTAAGATTGAGCTAAATAAACACTAACAGAACTTCTGTCCCTTCTACCTGGTTATCTTCCTTTCTTGTAAAATCTTTGTAATTTCAGGAGAGATTGGAGGTGGATAGGGAACATCTTGATTGTACTGAGAAATCTGTCCACACAAGATGATGTGACTATTTTCTGCCATCTGAAAAACAAATACGAGGGATTATCCCTAACTTCACAAAAACATCCAACAAGTACAAATAGATTCTTCAAGGGATCAGAACGAGCCTCCAGATCTTTCCACATGTATTATTTCTAGAAAATATAGCTGAAATATTGTTGAAGATGCAATACAAGACAAAGATTCATTTAAACATTTATGACATATCTTAGCAGCTTCTAACGGTTCTGTAAATTTATAACCAAACATCTGTATTAATATCTAAGGTACAAAACAGCTAAAAATTAGATGTAAAATAATAGTTACAGTATGGTGAAGCATAAATATATTTTATTTATTTTATATCTCATGTTTAGTTGTTTTGTACCCAACTATTACCAAAAATGGACTACAAGTTTCATAGTTCCACTGTACGGTCAATTATGTTCAAAAACCCTGTTTTAACTGTTTGTATTTATTAACTGTGGAGTTACAAGGGCAATGAATAAATGCAGTTAGAGCATGAGAATACTTGAAAAAAAAAGATTTCAAGTTGTGCTAAGAGAAAAACAATAGTGGTCAAAAGTTTGGACAAAGAACCTTCACTGAGTTTGAAGAGTTATGTTAGAAATTAAGAAGTATAAAACTTTTATTTCTGTTATTAGCATCATCTAGTGGTGGTAATTGTGATAAACAATTTATGATTTTAGTAACTTACCAACTAAATGTTTTGGGAATTCATTTCCTTGAATGTTTCTTAGTTCTTACTAATGAATGAATTTTTCATACTACAGTTTGATTTTCTTTTTGTTTCTTTCTTTTGTAATTGTCATAGATTCAATCTGGCTTTATATGCTATTTCTACACTCACACTTTGTATGACAAAAACAACCAACCATAATGCCTGAACAAGATTATATTTAATTCACTCAACATTTCATTTCCTCAACTTCTAGACTCATGACATATAGGCTATATACTTCTATATATGTTCTATAGACCAACAGAGAGTATAGAGCAAAGTAACAAAGCTAATACTGATTACATTTAAACAAAACAAAAACATAGAGCAGCATCAAAAGTAGGTAGGTGCACAGCCCAAGATTATAGTGAAACTCATTTGAATATTGATGTAAAAAGAAATACAGAACATAAAATATGAAACAAAAAACAAAACAACTATCACAAAACAAATCACAAAGATCAAGCAAATCTATAATTCTAAAGAAAGCAAATCCAAAGAAGTGACAGATCTATAACACTCTCGAACTTAGTGGTTACTGATATAGTTTTACCTCTGAATCATTAAAAATTGCTTCAAAGAAAATATTAGGGAACTTTTACAATTTGATGGCACACGTAACTTTGTAACTTAGACTGCCCCATACTTCAGTAACATACCTAAGAGAGACTAACAATCAGTGATACCAAGGTCAGGTTTACCTATAAGTCTTGTACAAAAATCAAGCAAAACCTTAAAACAAATATTAATATCTCTGCATTCACTTTAAATAATGCTTGGAAGAAAAAAAATGTTTCACTAAAGACACATGAGCAGGAGATAAATGTACAGTATAAAATGTTATTTATAAAGTAATCTGTAGAATACGTAATGAAGTTTACATTATACATCTTGTGCATGGCAGATTTTTTGAACATATAAAAAGCCTTAAATCAACTCCACAACAGATCACCTTGTAGTAAAATATGGTAGACTCACACCTGACTGTAATTTACATATAGAAATTTTTGCTACAGCTAATGACTTTCTTGACTATAAATATAAAGAAGCTTTACTTAGTTCAAAATTTAAGCCACAAATTAATTTTGACACAGGATGGGCATTATGATTATAGATGTTTTTTTATTTCCCTCTAGTTAAATTCATTTTACAAATCGATTTTTTCTTATTGTAATTATAATCTATTTTACATTTATTTATTTTATGTTCTGTATCTCTTTTCACATCAATAAACAATTTATTTTCAATATAATTTTAAGCTGCACACCTACAACAGTATTGTTAAACACTGATATCTCTGTACATTTTTGTTTTCGTTTAATGTAAACAATATCCACGTGACCTTGTTTCATACTCTCTATTGGTTTATGGAATTTTATGAAACAAATTTAAAACTGTACAGTCATTGTGCATCTAGCAGTGTAAGTTGTAGGTCCCTTGTTGAAGAAAGGAAACAAGTGATATAAATATAACCTTATTCTAAAGATTATTGTCATTTTGTCATCATACTTTTGATTTTCCATTACCTGTTTCAATCATATTTATGGCATAGTTCGAGCACAGATGTTGATTATATTATAACGATTTTGAATATGTAACTCGGTAACTCATGTGACAACCACAGTCAATATAAAGTACCATTGTGATGAGGATACAAAACTGTTTCAATATAACATACTCATATTCAGTATATAATACATCTATAAACTATTATTTGCCCAAAATCTGTGTGTCTGCTTACAATTGATAAACTGCTAGATCAATTGTCACCAAACCTGGCATGTAACCTTTAGGCCTCAAACGAAAGGAGTGAGATAGGTGTATTGACATTCTAATGCAACTTCCTTATGTCACCTCTACGGGTCCCCGTCTTCTCCATGTATTGAACGGGTACACCAACTAGCGTATGTGTGCGTGTCTGTCTAATATATATATATATATATATATATATATATAT